GTATAGATTGCCATGGACAATTGTTAATTTGGGCAACATATCTTTCAAAGAATTTACAATTTCATTATAAAATTCTCGGTCTTTATCTAAATTCTAAATATAGTGCTGAKGGAGCACCAAATAAACAAAAAAATACTCGAAGTGTATACACAATCTGTTCAGTTTTTTAAAATTTCAAAGGTCTTAAAATACAAAATTTAGTCAGATGGTCCCAATAAACCAAAACAAATTTGTACACTAGCTGCGTCGGGCTGAGATTGAAAATCAATCAAGTGCATTTTGCAACARCTATTAAAATCTTCAAACACCCCTGGTTTTTACTTTTTTTTGTTGGTAAGGTATTTACAAATCAAAGCATCGCTTAACATCAGATTGAGTAATATTTTTATAGTTTTTATYTATTTCATATACCTAATAATATACTTTGATCCCAACAACTCAACCTGAATGTCCAAAAAGACTTAGAAGTATGAATTTCATGTAAATAATTAAAAATATCATCAATCATAACCAGTAATTTAACATTTTCATTTTGATTACTTACAGAAAGTGTTAATTTTTCAATGCTGTTTATTTTACAATATCTTAATGTTTTTCTAATCAATAGTGATTCTTTTTATATTTTCATTTTTTCCACGACTATCATAATTTTCATACTTTTCTTTTGTTAAAATTGCACTATTTGGTTTTACATTTTAATCAATAATTTTTTACACTAGTATAAAACTTTGCTTTTATTAAATCGTATTCATTTGATTTAATTTTAAACTTTATTAGCGCTTGAGATAATATTGTTTCTATAGTCTCTATTTTTTTATTTAGTAGCTTCGKTTTCTATTCTTTGAATAGTTTATTTGTAATTCTAGTCGTGTTGTTTTTAGCTAGAGTTGTAAGAAGAGAAAATTTAATTTTCTTTCAGGGTTGTAAATAGAATGTCGTTTCTTGTTATTCGTGGATTGTTTGAATGAATTCTCTAATTTATAAATATTTTTGATTATGTGCTTTAGTTGCTAAAAATGTATGTTAGTTTCATTTTTATTTTCAAATACCTTTGTGTTTTATATTATTTTCAAGGAGCTCGTACAATTTGTCTGAAAAACGTCTTCATGAGTTTGAGAGTAAGTAATTTACTGTTAAATAAAATGGTTGACGTAATCTTTCCTGTTTATTTATGTTATATTGAATATATTGCATGCAGAGATTCATGTGCTATTTTGTGTGTTGGGTCTTGTAGGATTTGAGGAGTAAATTGTGAGTGGATATGTTGCAAAACTATATTGATTGATGATATCATTTGTAAAAATATCTGTCACTAGCCTAATAAAAGGTTAACATTTTTTAATTTGTTCGATTAGTTATTTTCTGTGAATAATTACGAATAATTACATATCCTTTTTGTTATCTGAATTTGAGAAAAGAATAATTTYCATTTTGTATTAACTCTTCGGCACGAAGAGGAATTATGACCTATAGATTTTAAGGTTAAACTTGTAATTTGTTCGTCTGTGAAACAAATTTAGAATTGTGAATATTTGCATTCATTAATATAGTGAATTATAGAMATTTTTGGCCATCTTCGTGTTGTGTATATATTTGATGACGAAAAACAAGTATATGTTCTTATCTTTCGGCGATAATTCTGACTTTAAGGTAACTCATTTGAGAAATAGGAGTTTTATTGGATGTTTTTGGTTGGTTTATAGAATCACTATATTATGTTGAATATGGATGAGCAGAGTTTGAGATTACTATTATTTTGGTAGGATTGTAAGTCCATTCTATTTATTAATTAAAAGTTATAAAATTTAAAGATGTACCTTTGTACCTATAAGCTATGTAATTTAGYCAATCCTTGTGGGAAAATAACTTAGTATCTGAAAAAAATCCAGGGGAGTAGGTAGCACTCCTGAATAGTTGAATTGTAGTTGACTTACCTTGTTCTTTCGTTGATTGGAGAAGTKATTATATTGTATTAGATTTGAATTCAATAATAATCATTGCATACTGAACCATGTACCAATTACAATTTTTAGAATTTCGAATAAAAAAATGGACACTTTTATTTATATTTTTAGAGAAAAAAATACAATAAACGGTATATTATACATTTTTAGAAATAATTTTTTTCCGTCTGTTAACTTGGGTAGGACTAAAAGTAAGGGTGAAGTTTATGCAATACAAAATGTTGTAAAAAAATAGGGATTGTCGCTATAAYTGTTTTAATTTATTAAACCATGCAAACCAAAATAAGAACATTATACTGTTATTTTTATCATCAGATTATCCTAGTATTTTAATAGCTGTGCAATATATACATATTATGTAGGTACCGTGAATATACTTACTGGATTTTGAGTTGTAATTTGTACCAGACTGTTGTTTTTAGGTAAACACCACTTGTGTAATATAGACCCGTCGACTTTCGTGTATATACTCGAATTGAATAAACAGTAAACATTTTATTCTGGTATCCCGATGTTAAATGTTTAGTCACGCCTAAAATGAATTACCGTTCGTTAATCATTGTATTGAGGTGTGTACACAAAATTTAATTGCGGACGTTCTGTTTTGTTGGCTACCCTTTTTTTATAGGGATACTTTTATTTATGTACCTTGGTAGATGTAGTGGATCTTTTAAAATAGCTGTCAAATATTGACTATTGTATATTTGTATCGTATAATACAGTATTCTGTCTTCGTGTAGATACTAGATACACATAGTAAGATAAACATATTATTTATATATATACTGTAATATTCTATTTTATTTACATATTTAACATATACGTATGAACGTTTATATATATATATATATATATAAACGCGGTGGCGTGCAGACAAGACACAAATGGGGCCTAGGCCCCACTTGAAAGTGGGGTGGGTGATGTGGGTTTTTTTTATTTAATAAATATTGTCTTTTCATATAACTATATAGAGACCCKTAATAAAACATATTTTATTTGTAAGTTGTAACTCTTAGTTTTAGGTGGTTGGTGGGTRTAAAAAAATTAGCTTTGCCCCACATGAAAAAAGGGATCTGCACGTCACTGTAATACACGTATATATTTATTAATCTTAATACCAATAATACCTACTGGCTACTATAACTTATAAGTAGGTAGTTAGGTTTATTTATGTACGTAATCTATTATTGTAAAATATGAAATTTATTTTGTTAATATATCCAACTGAAACCTAAAACCTATAATGAGGGAATGAAATTCATTTTTGTGTTTATATCAATAGTATACGAATATTACAAACCAAAAGGTAGTTAGTTAAAATACTTATTCAAAGTTAAGAAAAAATATGCATATAGATTCTAGTTTTTATGTATAAGTATACGTTCTTATAAACGTCACGATCATCTACAAGTAATGCTATTTTATTAATATGTCCAATTCAAATTATGGGGAGATACATGAAATATTTAAATTATATTGATAGCTGCGTATTTACTTGTAGGTTTCTAGGTTTCTTTGCATAAATTTAAAATACCTGCTTATATAGTTATATATTTATATGAGTTATAATATATCCTGTGCACGCCTGTCCATTATAGTTACCACTGTTACCACTGGTTCCGGGACATTTGCGGTCGGCACCTTTTGCGTGCCATTTATACTGCAGTTATACAGTACCATTGTTATTTTAAGATAATAATATCTTTAATACAAATATTATTTATTAATTTTTTTTTGTTATACTGCATATAAATAATTATTGTATATGGGATTATACTATTATATAGTTTATTGAGTTGTATTAAAATACGTTTATAGAAAACCAACAATTTAGAACGCTCGCAAAGTTAGATTTCCTACCTTGCTTTTTAATTCTCTATTATGTCTATTTTTATTACTACCTAATCACTATTTTAATATAATTATTATATACAATATAGGTATTGTCTACAACGACGAAATTGTAAAAACTAACACGTATCGTTTTCCCCCAAACAAAAGCTGCAGTAAATCTCATATTTTTTAATACTCAAAAAAACAAAAACAAAAAAATTGGTACCGTCGACTGTTATTGTATAGTTATACCGGTCCCGCGCGCCGACACGGTAACAAAATAATATTATAATAATAATATTGCGCGTCACGTGTATATGTGTGTACTGTGTACACATAATAATAATAATAATACCATAATACGATGGTGTGTGGCTCTATTCGCGGTGCAAGCGCGGAAGGGTGATTGTTTAACAACGATTGCGAGGGTCGCCCAAAAAACGATCTCACACAAACACGGCTGTGCGGGTCGGTGGTAGGTCAGCGGTGAGGAGTGATGGTCTCGGGCGAGTCAGCGCGATATTATTATGCCGGTAGCTAGCCGATTGCTGCGTATCTGCGAGTTAGCGCGGTGGCCGCGCGGAGGCGTCCTGCGCCGACGACGATGAACCTCGGCGGARCACCGCCGCCGCCGCCGCTGTAGGGTGGAACCGAAAAATTATACGTCTATATCACGTTTATACATTATACACGCGCCTCATGGGCGGCGGCACGCGCACGCACGCGCTMACGAACGAACGCTCGTTACAGCTGCGCGCTATCCTAGCAGGGATCATCGATTCCGGCGGCGGCGGTAAGCGGAAACGGCACAGCTTCCACAGCAGCCCGGGACGACTGCGACGCGCGCCCGATACACGCACCCCTCGCCGTATATAGTGTACAAAATACCACTCCGCACGCCGTTCGCACCCACCAAAATCCCAACCCGCCGACACTCRCGCCACCGCCACACGACTCCCTACCCCACCACTGCCATTGCCAGATCCGCAGCCGCCGCCCGAGTCAATAGCCCCGCTTCTCCGCGTGTCTGGTTCTCCCGGATCCAAATTCTCACGCGCTCCACAAAACTGGGTTATTGCCGCGCGCGGTCGACGACTACGCGCGCTCCGCGCACACACATCACCACCGGCTCCACCCTCCAGCGACCGCCGCAGCTGCTGTACACCACCCTGTGTGCTGCTGCTCTTGCTCTTGCTCCTGCCGCTTCCAACTACCACAGCGACGACTACGACGACGACGACGACGACGACTACGGCAACGCGGCGGCGGCGACTACGACACCGACACCGCCACCACTACCTCAACCGACGCGGCCGCGCTTCCTCGTCCACATCAACCGCCGCGCTCCCGCGACCACCTCGGCCGTGCAACTCGTCGGCGGCAGTAGTATCCGCGTCCCCGGACATAACGTCCGCCCGCCGGTTGTGTCCGCTCGCGTCGTTTGCCGCGTATAATATACATACCTCCTGTATACCATACACGACGTGCTTTGATCAACGTTATGCCATTAAACCCGTAGTGCTACAGTATATATATAGGATATAACTTCTGGCGAAATTTTCTTTATATTATAAGTGTGCGCAGGGCTCGTGTAAACACACGGACAACAGTTGTCTCGCGTGTGAGACCACAATAATTGTTTTCAACAGACCACGGTGACGGAGTGCAAGTTGTGTGTGTGTGCAAAAACCGTGAACGTATTCTCCTTCCTTGTATATATATATATATATATATATACACCTTTATATGTACATTTAATATTTACACATAATATTATCCGTCCACATTATACACAATAACACTGCACGTGCGAGAAATATCCGGCACTGCGTACCATCGACTCTAAATGAGTTACCGTCGGCTGCAACAGCGGCGTAGGAGGGCAATCGTCTCGTGTTCCACAAATACATCGTTCCCCCGGTACACTGGCGGTGGCGGTACGACACCGGCGCGAACAGCGGCTTCAGAGGGTGGTAGGTAGAGCGTCTGCATCATCAGCGTCATCAGCGGCGATCTCGACGTAATCGGCCGAGACAACCGGCGCGTTATATATACAACGCACACTATTGCTCACGACGCAACGCTCAGTGCTCAATATAATAACTGTAACCGAAACATTTTCAATCTCAAATACATAATTTAAATAAATCAAAAATACAATAATATAAATATTATTAATATTGAGTGAGTATATAATATACAGGAATAGTACGTAATACACACAGCTGCGCCTTTGCAGTGCTTATAATATAATATTCATACCAAGCGTTTCGATGGACAACCAAAACAACAGCACCACTACCACATTCCTGCCGCCACCCATCGACGGTGAGGCGTCGGCGCCGCTCGCGCAACCCGACGACGATTTCGTGGTGCCCCTTTCAGCGGCCGGTACCCCCAATACGCCGGCCGACGACGGTGGCACCGGATCTACCGTGTCGCCCGTGTCTCCTGTCCACCTCAACCGTCAGCAACACGGCGCATTGATGATGGACGACGACCAGGCGGCCAACACCGCCGCTGATAGCGGTGCGACGGACGACAGCTCCGTGCTGTTGCCGCCGCCCGACGAGACGGACAACGAAGAGAAATCAAACAAAGACAACGCGGACGACGAAGACAACGGTGGCGACAACAATGACGAGGCCGCCGACGACGATGATCAGGTGCCGGTTCTGGCCATGTCGGGCATTCTACCGGCCACGGCTACTGGTGGTGGCCCGATTTCCGACTCGAAGAAAACTTCTGGCGGACCGAACGACACGCTCACCGGCGGCGGAGCTGGGACCGGAAACGGAGAAAATAAATCCAAAGAAAAGTGAGCGCATTTATAATACCATTATTTTCTTTATATTATATCAAGTCTATTTTTATGTATATATTATTATACGTATTTTATAATCGTTTCGTTTTTTATATTATTATTAAAACGAATGAAGTGTATTGCTGCGAAACTAGCGTTGGTAATACATATATATATATATATATGTTTACAGTCATCGAAATTCGGGAGAAAGAATTTATGTCTGCCCTCCTATTTGTATCTAACCCCTTGCAGAATATTTTTAGGGGCTCGTGCGTTCAAGCGTATTTTTATTGGTTTTTTTTTATCAACCAGTATATTATGAAATCACATCTTTCGTGGCGGTTTTTGGGGTGCTTATGCGCGCGCGTCGTAGATGATGGGGAGTGGTATTTGCGAGAGAGCCAACGAAGTTTCCCCTTGGTCCAAATTTGTCATTTCGCTAATGAAAATAACATTAAATAATTTTTACAATAAAACTACTCATTCATAACACGATAACACCTACACACTAATATAAAATATAAATTATAATGTACCTACAGACACTCATACGAATGATGAGAATGATATAATTTAATTACAAATTGTATCTTTATTTTAATATGAATTAAACAAGTACTTAATGCGTATGTATGAAAATTGTTGAGACGGTACTATAATTATTATGACAGTGGTGGAGGTAGAGGTGGATATGGCGGCGGCGGATGTTGTTGTTACACTTTTTTTATGTGTATGTATGTATAATATACATATATATATATATATATATATTTAAGTAGGCGTGCAGCGATGCGATGATCGTCTGTGGTAGCGGTGGCAATATTGTGTAGCCAGTGAGTCTGTTGCTAGAGTTGTCTGTTGTCTATCCAACGTCGGTCTTTGAATACATAATATTCAATTGACTAAACTCGGTGCGCGTATATACTTAGGTATTCAGTATAAGGTGTGTTTCAATAGAATAAGGACAATTAAGTATTAATTTTTGAATATTTTAGTTCAAATTATTTTCAAATATAAGAATTTTTTAACACCATAAAGCTTTTTCTTTTCTTATAAGTTCCTATTTAAAATGTACAACAATTCTGCAATTAGTTTGGTTAACTTAGTCCTCCGCCCGTGCGGTGCGAGTACGTAATGTAGAATATTATAATTCATTAAATTATAAAATATATCAATTCAATATACAATACAACAATAAATTAATTACATATAAATACATACAATAACTATTGAAACTAAACCAAACGATTCTTAAACGCTCCCCAACGTATTTATATTCTGTCATCATTCGCACGTGTGAGCCGATTAAAGAAAACTAAATCGAAGTATATAAATAATGGCGAAATCTAAATCTTCGGGAAGTGGAAATCATCTCAAGTAAGTTTCACACGCAAATACAGTATTATAATATTTAATATACATAATACACTTTATATTATAAATTTTTTTACTCACAATAGCTATAATCATATAAACCTTTTAATTAATATTTAATATACGCGGTACCTGCGGAGTATTATTTATTCGTATACTAATAAACACATAAGAACGTAAATTCATGATATATATAATATACATGAATGTATGTACGTAAATTAAGGGCGGGTTGCACACATATACACACAGACACAAACAGTGTGAGTAATTRTAGCATGTTTTCCCCGGTGATAGTAGCCCTACGAGCGGTTCATTGCAGTACGTATGTCATGTGTAATGTATAAATATATATTATACTATGTACTTATGTATATATATATATACCTACGTACGTACGACCAGACGCTTTCGAAATAATTTTTAAACACGAGAAATTCAATACGTGTGCGCGCGCAAATGAAATATTATAGCGCATATAAAACAATAATAATATTATTTTAATAAATATCATGTACTGTACAGACCGTTGCACATTTTCATCCTACGGCGGCGACGACGTGTGTATTTTATACGCGTGAGAACTACGTCGTCGGCAGTAACATTGTAAAGTAATAGTTATAGTTATAATAATAATAATAATATGATTATTAATAATATCATCGTTCCGTTTAATTGTATATAATATAATAAAACATAATACTCGCATAAGCCATATTTATATATACATATATATATATATATACAATATACGACCCACTGTTAGGTACAAATATCCGTACCCGGTAGCTGGATGAGGGACCGCACGTACTGTATACACGTTTGTGTGTAATATGATGTGTACGTGTGAGAGCATTAATTGATGTCAATTTGTAGTGTGTGTGTATGTGTGTACGTGTATTATGTACAAATGTATACCTCCCATCGTATTACATGATGTATATTACATGCATTGCTTCCGCAGCTAAAAGTTTGCAGTTAACGCCGATGATGTATAAAAATAATAATAATGTACAACGAGGCCGTATTAATTTGCGATCGTCGCAGTCCGCTTTAMGTATAATGTATTAATGTATAAGCAAATACACGGTAGAACAAAGTTTTTCGTTTTTAATTAATTATAATTATTATTATTGTCAAAAGCTATTATACTATACGCATACAGCTACATCGTTGTCCCACGTAGTGGTTCGTGATCAACAGCGGACGCTGTTAACGCCGTAGGGATTACCTACCTATCTATTTCAATATTACAATTTACAGTATACCTACTTCTATTTATGAGGATGTACCAAATAGTAAATTTACAAATATATTAACTATATGTCTATATATACATTATTAATATACTATACGGACAGATGACTTGTATGAAACGCGCGCTATTGCAATAATGTCATGTTTTTGCGTTAAAACACACATAAATGATATATAATATTATTACTCTATAACATCGAACCATCACATTTAATTTATTTTAATTTATTACACTACATATATAGCCTATATCTACAGCATACGTTAAAGTATACATTTTTAACGTTGTGGTTGTAATACCTATACACATCCACCTATATTACGTACAAAATGTTACTTATTTATTATTATGGTTACGTTAAAATATTGCCACTTCTATTTAGCCGGTCGTGTAACAATAATTATTAATAAGCTATGAGAATCGGATAGTCCCTAAAATACGTATGTAATAATATAATACATAGTTACCCTTTTGAAATCGGTATCAGCGGACAGCGATGTTATATTTTATTTCCCGAAGTCAAATATGTTATCCGTTCTCTATTCGAAATACTCATAAATAGTATTTTTACTGCAACCGCTATAAATATAAATGAAAAAAAMCATACTTGTACTTAGACATCATAGGTATATAAGTACTTTTTTACTTATATCTATAATATCAGTGTATATATACTACCCACTTCCGAAATATAACATGATACGAAGGCGATGGAACTTGCAATMAATCAATCAATCAATCCAATATTATTAATGATGATAGCTGTAGGTCTGTACTTCTGTAGCACCTTATACACTTGTTGTGTATAAAATTGTCATAAAAATATATACCTATACAATCTATTCATAAATAACCATAATACACTTAATAACAAATCACATTATACACAAAGTGGTAGTTTATTTTACAAAATTATTTTTTTAAACGGTTCCGTTTTTTGATAGTGACCTAAATAGGTGTGTGTAATGCAATAGAGTATATAATGTAATTATATACCTAAACCTAATAATAAATTGATATTTGTGCGCTACTTTTTATTCTTACATATATAATTTATATAGCGTAAAATACAACCGTACTTTMCACAAAACATTGTGGAAAAATTATATTTATTTTCCATAATTCTTAAATATAATAAAAAACTATTAATCATCAAATTAAATAATTACAAGTGCTCAAGAGTGCTTCAAGCCATTCTGGGCATTTATAAAAGCAGAATTGTATACATACATAATATATATAGAAGTTTGTAGGATTAAATAATTCACTACCACATGCTCTTTTGAGTAAACCTTAATCAAAAATGCTTATTAAGTAAATTACTCATCCCTTAATAAATATGATTTAAAAATTAATTTAAAAAAACACACTGATTTCCAATTAAGCATTATAAAATATAATCATATTCACGATCACTTATTAATATTGTATGTACTTAATAAATTATAAATAAATACGTATAGAATAATTTTAATCAAAACACTCACAATCCTCATTTTCAGATAATTTCAATTAAACTTTAAACACTCATAAAGCAATAAATAAAAATATTCATTTATAATTTAAAAATCACAATACGATAAAAATGTGTCTATATAGTTTATAATTATTTGAAAAATTGAATAGGTAAAGATACTACACTATAATTGTTATAATATCAGTATATTTTTTTATTATATCAATAAAATTGAGTATAATACACCTGCTCAACAATTATATATATGATTAATAACAGATACATATAAAAATTGATAGTTGATTTGAATGTCTGAGGATAGATATCCTGGCTTACAGTATTATCATATTGTACACATAAAATTAAAAAATATACGCACACAAAGCACTTAATACTTTGCATAGAAATTGCCTATCGTCTATACAATGTGTGTGGTAAGTTGTGTTGTTATGTGAATATAATCGATCGATCGTCAATGCCACTGCCACCACCATCACCACTCCCTCTAAAGCATAATATGGTGTTAACGACCTGTGTTATTATTGCTACTTGCGCGGTAACGGGAACGATCGAGGATATCCTCTCGCGGTCTTTTTTTAATTTTTTTTTTTTTAATACAAAACACGTCGGAGTTTCTTCAATAATAGTTTTAATAATAATAATAATAAAATACAAGAGCGTATCACGCCGATTTCTCTAGGATATTACGCGATGACAGTCAAGTGATCGCGGTTATGATGGTGGTGATTGGTGGTGGTGTGGAGGTGGATGGCGATCTCGATAATCGCGCATGCATAACGACAGACAAGAGGCTAGGAAGGAACGAAAGGACTCGAGAATGCTAAAAAAAAAGTATGGTGAACAATCAAAAAAAAATCCTTCAAAGTATTTTTTTCTATCTACCTTCCACTATGTTTTACGTGTTGTTCACTCTGAACAATGTGCCACCGCCGATCGGCGATGAGTTGCCGAAAATACGACTAAAACGAATCACACGTAGAAAATCCAAATAATGTATATATTTATATATAGGTACTTTTAAGAGCAACAAGAAATAATGTAACAGCTACTAAAAACATTGAAATAATTCTATAATACTAATAAAAGTTAAAACGCTTAATGAGGGAGAAAGCGTAAAAAATCGTATAGCATGACATAATTATCAAAGTAAATGTATTAATATTTTAATTTTCAATCAATATTTGTATAAAATATATAATAATGATAGAAATCAACTGAAGACTATTTTTTTTTAAACGAATTATTTTTTAATTATAAATAATTTATTAACGAGTTCGTGATCTTACATATTAATATATTATTATAGTGTTTCATTGGTTTCAGTTATGCACGTTTTATTTTAAATTTAAACATCTTTTTTTTTTTTTTTCGTTTTTGAACCGACGGCGTCGCGGGGACAGCTTTCGCAATGCTTCCGCGACAAATTTAAACATCTATACCTACATATAGGTACTTCAAAATAAAAGTAGGTGTATTGAAATATTTTATTCACTGTTTGGACTGGACATTTTTAACATAAAGGTTTAAAAGTCATATTTTACGTTTCGAATACAATAATAAATATATTCAGGAATTAATAGTTGATTAAGGAAACGAGGTCAAAAGCAAATTCATAAAAATACGTGGTGCTCTAGTTATACCTGCAGTACAATGAAAAAAAATTGTTGTGACACAAATTGTATTTTTATATTATCAAACCAAGATTATATACCTATATTAAAAAAATATTTATACCGACCGAAGTATATTTGCAATGTTTTATCAAACCATCAAACCATCAAAACATATTATATATCTGAATTCTGTAGGGAATATCTAGTATCTGAAAATTATATTTATAACATAATAACGGTGGACTAAGGAGTACATATTATATAGGACGACTAGGATATATTATATTGTTTTTGTTAGAACCCCGTGCCCGTCTTTTATTCGTTCTCTCTCTCTCTCGTTCCGTAGACCCGTATAGTCTGTACATCTTTTCTTATTTTTATTTTTGTAATAACAAAAATAAGTAAAACTATTTTGGTTGGTACCTAATGGATTAGTTTTGGTATAGAGTTTAATGTAGGTGTAATATAGGTATTAATCATATTTTATACAAAAACTTCTTTCTTGCTGTAATTCACAAAAAACCTTTAATTACATTTTAAAAGAACTTATAATGAATAATGATGATGTTTTATCGTCCTCAATAGTTAACAATAACGGTGGCGAGTCTAATGAATTCAATTTTTTTTACTAGTTTCATTAAGGTAGACATCAAAAATACACCTTTTTTTATTTAATAAACCTAATTAAATTTATTTACATTTTTAAATGAATCCATATAATATGTGTCATCGTTTATTCAATTAAAAAAAACAAATACATATATTGGAATTTGGAATTTGAAAATTAAATTCAGGGTATGCAGTTAATTCATTAAATTTTAAATGGTAAAAACTTTTACGATATTAAATGATAAAAGTTTGAAATTCTAGACTGTGTTCCAAGATATTTATAATTTATAGTCTCAGGCCCCTGTGTAGAAGATATTGTTTTGTTAGAACGTGCGTAACTTTATAGACTTGATAAATATATTTATCGTATAGGACCTATAGGTAGTAGGTACATCTCTATACCTGCAATTCCTATAATAAAAGTAAAAGAAAATCGTTTCTCTCGATCGTGTTTATTCTGTACCGTAACCAGGTACGAACTAGCTGGGATGCTACAGCATCCCTTGGCCTAAAATATATTCGATCTAAAATTTGATCTAATTTGTTTTTAATCTAATATTGTACAATTTTGTTTGAATATTTGTTGTAACTTGGTACCTATTTTCGAGTTTTTCTTATTTTCAATATTTTATACATAATCTACATATTTTAAATTTGCTTCACATATTTTTGTTATTTGCCCTTTGAATTATGTAGCATCCCTTGCCCTTTTTACTAGTCCGCGCCTGACCGTAACAATAAGCTGTCGTTGCGCTTCCCGTCCTTAGCTAGTGGCTACTGTCTAGTAAAATAACTTTACTGGGGTACCCCTTAGCTTAAATATTAATTCAATTTACTTTCACTGCCGTAGTGCCGTGTATTACGAGAAAAATGTAACGCCTTTAATCGCGCTTTTGGCCATTGTCCACCTTGCTATAGTTGCTATACACAAAACAAATTTCTATATTATAAATATAATAGGTATATTTTATGACAACGAATTATTCATAAAACAACAATTTATATTTTTCAATAATAATACTATTTAGCTCGTTAAATGATTTTGTGATTTACAAGTACCTACCTATAGTATACAAGATGATAAATAAAATCATGCGTTATACGTGTATGCATAATGTTACATATACTTATAAATCTTATAAATCAGTGCATACTACTTATCTATAGGTACATAAATATAAATTAAAAATACATTTTTACGTATTTAAATATGATATTGCATATTTACATGCATATAYATATAACTATTCAATTTTACGCATTGATACATTTGATCTTAATTTCTGTTCTATTGGTCAGGCGCAGCTTTATGTTTTAAAAATATAAAATTATTACTTCATTAGTTATTTAGATAATGTCACAAAAATGACAAAAAATCCATATCCCTATAGAAATTGATTATAAGAAAAAAGTTAAAAGAACAATCAAATAAACAAAAATAGAAATAAAATCTTAATTAATAACTAAGATATGATATATAATGAAGGAATCAAATTTTGAGGGTAAAAAGCAACATTATGATTTAAAACACATTGAAAAAATTTATATTGCATTAAAATATGCACCTCATATAATCAAAAAAGATACATCATTGTAATAACAGTTAAAATAATATTTTATATTGTAGTTTACATGATTTGAAAATTAAAATAGGGAATTGGTTATATACTTCCACAGTTCCACCYACTAATGGCACTTGACCTTAAATTATTTAAATTTTAAATTTGTCATAAATCGTAGTTAGAATGTAAAGTTGATCCGTAGTGATATAAAATGGTACTTCTGTTGTACTTACAATATCATGTTGAATTATGTTTTCAAAACGCTCAATTTATAAGTAATTAAATAGTTATAAWTTATTGMAACATTAACAGTATTATTTAATATTTTGGTTTTTTATATATTAACATATATGTATATGTGTAGTGTATACAGATAAATGTATATATATAAATAATATGTATTATATTTATAGTATTTTATTAACTATACTATGGGCGTACGGCTATACCTTATATAGTRCTTGTCGCCTGGTGCTGTTAAAAATGTTAGAAAATTTAAATCGTAAAAATACTAATGCGTTAATAATCTTTGTGCGCAGAACACGTTATACGGCCGGCAGCGGCACAGGAACTGGAACGGATGCGGAAGATTCCGGAACAAGCAATCCTCAGGCGGCTTTGGGATGTGGGACTACGTTTGAATACGTAGTACTGGTAACGGCGTGCTCAATTCTGCTATTGGCTGTTACCGGCACTACCATTTACTGGACTATGGCCTACCGAGGTGGATACGACACCAATTGGTTTCCCTGGCCACCACTGACTCCTAGGGAAATGTTATCTGGTGGAGTATTTACTTACAAGCACCCACAAAACTTCACTACCGGCGGCAGCGACATCAGTACGACAATTACAACGACCACGGTCGAACAACAACAATCTTCACAGTTGAACATATCGTCATCAAACGTTTCAATTGAAGATCGGCGGTTCAACCTGCATCCGACTTTGATGACGATCGGTTTGGTCACCTTAACCGGATTCTGTAAGTTAATGTCTTAATGGAGACATATATAAACATTATACATTTTACCAAACAGTCACGATTATATTATAATGTAGTATTGATATCTATAAGGGATACCAGTGGTTCCCAAAAAGACACCTAGGGATTCGCGTGTTGATGTTCGTTTGGGGTCCGTGATTATCTAGTATTGAAGTGATATTTTTATTTTATTTTAGTAGAATTTTTAAACACGTATTGGTTTGAAATTCCAGGTATTTTGCACAATCACTATTGAAACTCGATTATCGCGAAAATTGTCGACAATTAATGTATTATATACATATATATTTTTTTTTCATTTTTATAGTTAAACAAAATTGGAAAGTAAGTGATCACAAATTAGGGTTCCCCCGCCCAATTTAAGTTTTAACTAGGGATACGTGGCTCAATGCTAATTGGGAACCACTGATATAGGTATATTATAGTATTGTAAATAGTGATCACTACCTGGCAGAATTAAAACTTTTTAAGGTATTGACCTTTTTTTCTGTGAATCACATTACATTGTTATATGAATATTTTTGCTAATTTTCCTAAATTTTGGAACACAGCTATATTGGTGTACAGAATGGCTGCTGGATGTTCGACTTCGTGCAGGGGTACCTATGTGAAATTAACACACGTACTATTGCATATAGCTACCGCACCATGTATATTGTTGGGAGCTGTGGCCGCCATGGAATACCATCGTTTAAAAGGCTTACCGCATATGTATTCGTTGCACAGTTGGATGGGATTATTGACATTTATACTTTTTACAATTCAGGTAATAATAAAATTATAATATCATCTTTACTATATCCACACCCAATTCGCACATGGCATGCACTGATATTTAACTTTAAATCGGATTTTCTTTATAGTTCATCCTTGGATTTTTCACGTTCGTTTTACTGTTATGTTGCCGTGGCGCAACGGCTGTGTGTCGCTTACGATGTTTCGCGCCCATACATGCCACCCTGGGACTGTGCACGTTCACACTGGCCATAGCTACCTGTCTCACCGGACTTCAGCAACGTGCCGACTTCTCGATATTCAGCAATAATAATGGGTTCGTATACTTTGTTCTCTTCATAATATTACTATATAATTGAACTTCGTATATATAGGTTCGTATCTATTGATTTTACGATATTATACGTTGAACGGTATTATGGTCTTCTCTATAATTTCTATACCCTTCATCGCGTATGGTATTTTATGTTTATTTATTAAATTATACAYTACACACATCAAGTATTGTTTTAAGAATTTTTTCCTATTTCCTTAAAAAATATAATTATTCAATGTTTGATATTGATAATCTGATCCCTGAGAAAGTCAAATAAAAATAACTATATTAAACACAACTTACTAATATTTAATATCATTTTGATATATTATGTTAGAGTAATGATAACAATTTAATTTTATAACATTTTTTAAATCTAAAAGAATTAATATAGGTATTTAATTCTAATCCTCCATAATAYATTGGTTGCGTACTTTTGAAATTTCCTACCACCCCACTATTTGAGTAGTTATATATACTATCCGGCATCCGTTAGAATAAGAAATGACACCTATATTWTGTTACATAAATTTAATAGGCGTATATAGACACTATTATAGTGAGTACTTATCCACTATCCACGAATGATAAAATATACACTAATAACATCATTAATTATCTATGTATTATGTACTAAAAATATAAATACAGGCAACAACAGCAAAAACACCATCAGCAACAGCAAACTACTCCGCCGCCGACGCCGTCGTCCTTAAATTCGGGTGAACATGGTCGCGCGTTGCCACAACAAGCTATTATCAACATTATAGGCGTGCTGTTGATGATTACCTTAGTGTTTGTCACAGCCACGTTGTTGTCTCAGAAGAAATCCTGCAGGAGGAATTCGTCGTCATCATTTTCACCGTCTACGATGAGATATTGTCGAAATGGCGGCCAATCGTTCCAATTGGTGCCGTCTTCGCCAGCTGCGGCGGACGGATCGGATCATGGAGGCCGAAACGGCCGGATGTGATAATTAAACTACTATATAAATTGTTTTACGACGACGACCACGTTCCAACGACCGACCAGACACACTCGCACCACATATACATCATAAACATAATATTATTATATATAATATAAATATCACATTATTATAAAATCTATATAGTCGACACACGCAACAACATTACAGATAGTACTCTAAGGTCAATTGTATTATAAAGCACACTATGTACAAAATATAACTTATAATACTATATWCATTCGAACACCGATCGAAAAGATCGAAGTGCAGAAGTCGTATAGCACCAAAACTCTCCAACCTCGAGTGACGGTGATGACCGGACATAATAACAGGACATACCCCAAAACGAGCGTTTCGACGCGGTTACAGTGACTTCCGACGGYGACACGGAAACCACGGGACATGGTCTGAGAAAACAACTACCTATTGCGGTAATAATACAACGGCGTAACGGCGGACAATTTACTCCGTCAAATATTACATATATATAATAATGGTGGATGAATTTGGAAGTCTGTTGTTCGGTATTGTATTTATGTTTTGAATTACAATACCGTAAAATATTTAATAAACGAGTGTTCGCCGCTATAMTATTAATGCTTGCGTCGGTGATGTGGCGTCTACGGTTGTGACGATGGCGTTGGTGATGTTGGTGATAGTGGTGATGGCGTTATCGAAGAAAATGTGCACACACAAAAATAAATACACCTTCCTTATACTTAGTACCTACSTATATAATACTAGTACCATTGATTTTTATGCTTCATATTGTCATAGTATTCTATGTACAATCAATGCTATTTATTCATGCATATTCAATTGTTTTTTCGCTGGTTTGCACTGTGGGATTAATTGGTGTTAAATGTTTGTTACTTCGCTCACAGTGGCGGTCAAATGATTTTGTCATGGTGCTGGGTGCCCGATTTTTTAACATGCACTATTTGATCTTAAAAATATAATTTATATCATTATGAATATTGAAAAATGTTTATATGAAAAGGGATTTATCACTCACACACCCCTCTCTACCATCTGGCTATTATTATTTGCTCAAAAATCTTTTACATAATACTATATCTAGTTTTTTTCGTGCTGGAATTATCATCGGTTATTAAGTTGAGTAATTAGCACTTAATAAAAGGATGTGCTACACTGGATTTTTCTCGTATACTAAAACCTTGTAGGTTATATACATAACTGCTTATATACGTGCCCCAATAAAATGCATGCATATTAACATTGTATATTATAATTTATTAAATGTGATATATGAGTATTGCATTGTTACTTGGTATGGAAAAAATAATATGAATAAATACCTAAAAAATATACCCACACAATTATTAGATACCTACTTATTTAAAAGACTTGAACTTTTTAACTCTGAAAAACCCAGTTGTTTTGTCAAATATAAGCTAAATTTTTCTTTATACACCTGTTGTATGATTATCAATTTGTTTTTATGTACTTAAGTTTTCTATTCCAGATCTTAGGTATCAAAATAAAGTATCTATCACGTTTATTGTTTTACATTTTTCAGCGCACTTAATACCTTACAATAAATATAGCGGTAGTAGATATTTACTCTTAAATTATAAGACATTTGTACAACTCAACACCTCAGTATCATCTAGTTTAACATTCATACGGAAATGTTTTCCCTTTGAGAAACTTTAACTATACAACATAGTACAACATTTATTTATTTGTATACCGAATAGATGTTTTATATTAAATATGATATACCTACATAGTAGCGTACATATGCGTACAGAGGCACAAAGTGCAATTTTSAGCTATGATTAGTATCCCATCATAAGTTAGGTTTTACCACTTTTACACAGATCATACGGAAAACTCTCCCCTCTGTATGTATGTATCCATGTACTCATGTCACATCTTAGAATGTACCTATTATATATTATGCATAAAATGATCCACATGTATAATATTTTTGTTCGAATCTATATTAATGTTATTATGGGTGTTTCAGAGACGGTGAACAGACATTATCCGAGTTGATCAAAAAGAAGTTATACTTGAACAAGGAGCCGGTAGTGGTTAATGTATTGGCCGTTTTGCTGGTATCCGTGTTGATAGTTGTGTCGTATATGGTACGCCGAGAGTCGCTGAAGCGAAGGCCCAACAACAAACCGTCATACACAGCAACAGTCAGTCCACTACGCATAAAATCTTCGTCGTCGTCTACCGGAAAGTTTGGATCGGGAAAGCAATCGTCGCAGCCTCCAGTTTGAGGATATACACATCACATTCCGCAACGATTTCTGCCATCACTTCTATATTTAATACAAACAAAATACAATTAATAACAAAAGTACAACAAATTGTCATCGTCATGTAATCGGTCTTATACAAATACTATATTTATTATTTATAGAAATAATATACATTCTAAAATTTGTTTCTCATATATCATCGTAACTGGCCTAATACATTTTCATTTCCATTTTCATATGTATTTATTTTTTATCTAAAATAAGTTATAAGTACACTATATTATATATGTTAACATTCATCGGCCGTGACATTGCGCAATTATTAATGAAAGCTCTAAGTAACATTGACATTATTATCTCTGTGTTCCACATTCCTATTTGTCTTCCTATTTCCAAATTTCTCTTTAGATAGGAACTATTATGCGTATGTTTATTTTGTGAATATGACAAATTGCTATTACTTATCGATGTTGAAGTAATACTTCAGTTCGAGTAGCTATATTATATTCACACGTGTATCTATAGTTAATAGTATAGTAGGTATTAACCTACATAATAACGTAGTTAGACAATGATAGAGTTAAATAGAATCTACTTTTTTTTTTAATATCGCGTCATTTTTACAATTAATATTTATGTTTATACACGCACTTGTATACTCGCGTAGTGTACTTATGCGTGTGATAGATTAATAAATTATAATTACCTATACAATTTTTTTTTACAACAACGTACCTACTTGATAAATGTATAGGATTAAGAAAACAAATTCGTACGACACGCGTGTGTTTGCAATATTACAACTAAAAAGTGTCTATCAATTTATTTATATAATGTTCATAAAAAACACAACATTAATTATGTGTGAAGGTTTAGAATAAACAATTTAAAACAATTCGACCAAATTTAAAACAATCGCGAGTTTTACACATTATTTGATGTAAAATTATTATATACTATTATTATTTAATATAATTATCATTAGCAATGTGTGTGTGTGTGTGAGTGTGACTTTTTCAAAAATATAAATACATTTAACTATAAGATAAGTTATTATTATCGAAACTATACTAATATATTATTTATAAATTATTCTAATGTTTTTCGTAATATTTGTATTTGAATTTTTAACAAAAACAATATAGAATATTATTACTAAATAAATATATTTATGGGTAGTCAAGAAAAATAGAGATTATTATTATCATTATTATATTTACATATATATATGTATATATATATATATACATGTGTGTATATGTATGCATGTATATATATTTATATTTATATATTATTGTTTTTGTTATTGATAATTTTTTTTATTATTATTATTATTATTATTACTATTTATATTTCTAATTTATTATACGTTTTTTTGGGTGTTGTAATTAATTTTATTAAATAGAGAAAAAAGAGAAAAAAAGTATTAGAATTTTTACAAAGAAACTTACGCGTACTATATACCATTACTAATTATAGCTACTACAAATACCGATTTATTATTATTATTATTATTATCTAGCATAATATAATTAATATGTGTATTATATATTATAATAAAACATAATATACATTATTATTATTGAAATTATAACTAGTTGTTTTACTATATAATAAATGATAAATACAATTTCAAAAATTCTTTAAACGTTTTAATATTGTGTTATAACATGCAATTGCATGTTAACTCTAGCACTGGCACTTCTCAAAAGTATTTCATAATATCATAGTCGATAATCATAAAATTCCATGATTACATCAATGTGAAATTAACAAATAATGAAATAAATAGTAAGGTTTGATATAACCCATAGATCTTAAGGTTAATTGGTTAATAATATATAATATAATATTTAACCTACCTATGATATAATCGTACATGGCGTATACGTTTTTAGGTATTATGAATCCAACAGATAGATTTTTTTATTGTTAYTTACACATCAGTATAAACTAGGTATAGTGTTAAATATCAATATTGGTGAAATAAGCTAAGGAATTTTTTTAATTCAATTTAAAATTGACATATCTGTTATACAAGTTAACAAGTCTTGATGTTTAATACAATTGTCTATGTCTTCACTGAAAGTTTGATGAAAAATTCTATTATGGGTTAAGAACTTTAAGACCTTCAATGTCTTGTTAGTTGTTATAGTAGTGTACGCAGGATTTTTAGTTCGGTTAGGGTTTTACATGAGTAAATAATTTACATTATTTATTGGTAAACAGTTTTTATATAATTAGTTATAACAAATTATAATATAATAATAAATTGACAATTTATTTTATATCTGTCTATTAAAAATTACCAACTTTTCGAGTTGTGTAATGAAACTAATCGACTTTGTGTAATGAAATGATGGTAAATGAGATTTTTTTTTGTAAAAGAAAGAAATTTCCGAGGGGTTAGAACCCTAGAATCCTACCCCTGCGTACGCTACTGAATTAAATGACGTTGAAATGATCATAAACAAATGAAATAAATATAATTTTAAAATGTCCCTATACAAATTTAAGCAATGTTACATTATGTCTATGGACTGTAAATTACTACAGGAAACTGTTATTTAATCTGCAATAGCGCTTCTTAGACTTGCATTCCAGGTCGTAAACATTCCGTGACTAAATTTTATAAATTTGATATAATATTATAATAACTTGTCCTAAGGACACCATTAATACCAATATTCCGGATACATGTGACAGAAATACTAGAGCAACGTTCCCTTCACAAATAAATTAAGAACCATCAAGAACAGTGGCGGCGCGAGGTAAAATTAATATGTGGGCGAAGTAGACTTAAAGAGGCCCTTTTTTTAAAATTTTTTAATAAACATTTAAGTAACAATAGTTATTTAATAAATATTAAGATTTACAATTTTTTGAAACAATAAACTCTAATTATTAACCTTTTATTTGCAAAGTAGTCAATATAATTTTAATATTTTATTTATACATAATTATATAATTAAATACATATTTTTTTAAATTAATAATACTGTTATAGAAGTTTCATTTTTTTTTATTTACAAGAAATGGACTTTTCGGCTTTTTGTTTCACTAAATGTTTTAAGTATATCTTCGTAATTTAAATTATTTGCAATTTTCGTTTCAATGGACAAAACTGCTAATGCTGAGAGYCTTTCTTGTGTCATCGTATTTCGTAGGTAATTTTTAATTATTTTAAGCTTCGAAAAACTTCTCTCTGCTGAAGAAACAGCTTCAGTATACAAACATGCGATGAAAATCTCTCACCACATCTTCATTATTAGATCCCAAAGCACAGAAGCACAGACAATTTTCAACATCCCTCCAACTTGCTCTCAGAGTCTCAGCGAAGACAACAACGAAGCAATTTATAAATTGTTTCACTGTATTCATTTAAACCACAAATTGTAAATATATTTAAATACTACATTCCTGCTCATATCTATTMAAATTGTAAGGTAATAACCAATAACGAAGCCTTATTTATCTCATAATAAAAAATAAAAATAAATGCCCTTAGAAAAAATAATTTTCATTTTATTTCTAAGTAAAATTATAACGGTTGTAGATTATAGACACATATTTTATTTTAATAACCTCATATAGAGGTAAAATATATACTATTTAATTTCCCTCCTGATAGGTATACCTGGAAACTACTAGCTTATGCGAAAGATGTCCAAATTGAGGCTCGCGAGCATAAGTCGTCATAGTCACATGCGGCTCGCGTCTTATTAAAATAAAACCAATGTTATTTACTTATCAACGATAAAATTATAAAATGTATTTATAAAAATATTGGCTCTTGATAGCATTGCATTTATCCATGTGGCTCGTAGACGTATTCGTGTTGGCCACACCTGTTATACACGTTAGGTAGCCATTAGACAATCACCATAGATTCTTGTCTTTAATCTTCAGGTTGTATTTTCATGATGTATTTATTGTTTACTTTTAGTTCAATTGATTAATGATTATGCTACATAATAAACTCCTTGTTTATAGTGCACTTATAACTTATAAGGCTATAGACTTATAAACAAAAAAAGTGAGTAAATGCCAAATGGATGTTGCTCTGCTGTCAGTATAAGTGGGTCACTGTGATGGATGGTATTAAATTTGAATTCAATGAWATAATATAATTATAGGAATACGAAAAATGATTCTAAGCGGTGATGGTATTTATCTGTTTTGGATATCTTAACTATAGGTAAGTAATTTGTTATACGGCCATATTTTATTTTAAATGTTTTTCGACAATTATTATATAAACTTGTGATGAGGAACCTTGTATTAAATTTTTAAACTTTTTACCCAACATATAAAAATTTATTGACATTTATAGAAAAAAAACTAAAATATTGGAGCCTGCAAATGTCCATACACAGCTCAAAACAAGTCAAACAATTTATTGGCTTATAGAAAATGCTTGTATTAAGAAGTATAAAAATACAATGAAAATTGCATGTAGGTATGATGTATCATTTGTATCAGAGTTACACCAAAATCCAAAATCGATATTGTCCAAAACCAGTTTAGCGGTTTTCGTTTTTTTGTTGTTTATTTTTCTTGCAGTTTTTGAAAATTTTTAATTTTTATCCTCTAAAGTACCAACTAGATTCACTTTCCTGCCAAAAAAATACTGTAGAAGAAAATCGAAGCATTTTTACTGCCCCGAGCCCCCGAAAGGTGATGAAAGACACAAAATAATTTTAAAAAAAGTTTAAAAAAAGTTTAAATTAAAAAAGACATGCACATCATTGTAAAATCAATACATTCATCGCCCATCCTTTTAGAATCTAAAAAAGGTACCTATTAATAATATCAGTATTATGTTACGGTTACGAACTATGGATTCATAAAATCGATAATAATAACGAATATAGATAGAATAACAGCATACATCGACATATAATAGTTTCGATCTTATTCAATACCTATATAATATTAACTGTAATAGTGTAAGCTGAGTACCATAGATAAAAAAAACTGTTAACTAAGTTAAGAATTTGCGGATTTCATGAAAATTCAACTAGTTTATAATAACTCTCAATTATATAGGTACACATGTTTAGAAAACTTAAATACACCATACATCATGGAGGTAAGTACCAGAACCCTTATAATTRTGGCAAAAGTAGTATTAATCAATATTCATAAGTCATAACCATCATATGAAGACATATTTCAAATGTTGTTACGAAAATTACATACATCTTTCCATGAACACCCATAATAAGACATTAAGACATCTTCAAAACCAGCGATACAGTCCAAGCCAGTGGAACAGTCTAGAATTGAAATCATTTTAAACAGAACCTGTAATACAGCATAATATGCTTATCATCAAATCTAATCTGATATATTATTTAATCTGTATTATATGCTTATTATTTCATATTATTCACTATTCAGATGTAGGTACCATAGCCGTTGAGATCTGAGCATTTTCACGCCTTTAACGCAGACACGATCAAATTTGTATACTCCTTTATAATTTTACTTGAATCGAATAGGAATAAAACTACCATTATAAGTATTGCTGTTGAAATTTGAAATTGTCAACTATTTATTTAAAAAAAAAAAAAACCAAAATCTGAATTTCTGGGACTCTGGAAGTTTGCACTCAACAATAGACACTGTCTCAGGATTATTTGACAAGTGGCACAACTTTCTATATATTATATAGGAACATAATAATATGTAAAATAAGTTTTATAGGTATTGGGACATTAGGTATTTATATTAGTTATATTATTATTGTATTCAGTCTTTCAGGGTTTTTCGTTTTCGTACCTACGTATGGATTGGTCAAAAATCATTACGTAGAAATATTTTAGTGCTATGGAGGCATCCGACATCGCTTATCTAATATCTTGAAGGCTAAGAAAATACAATCGCAATTCGTAATGCATAAGTAAAAAATATTGCGTAATGGTTATGGCCTAGTGGCCTATGGGTAG